TATAAGGCTTTTATTATGTTGACATATGATCCCTCTATTCCCACTTTGCTGAGAGTTTTTGTCAAGGAAAGGTGTTGGATTTTGTCAAATGCTTTTTCTGCATCAATTGATATGAGTATGTGATTTTAAAAATATATATGTATATTTATTGACTTTTTTTTTTTTTAACTAAGAGGAAGGGAGAGGGATAGAAAGTTAGAAACATCGATGGGAGAGAAACATCTATCAGCTGCCTCCTGCATACCCCATACTGGGAATATGCCTGCAGCCAAGTTACATGCACTTGACCAGAATCAAACCTAGGACCCTTCAGTCCGCAGGCTGACATTCTATCCACTGAGCCAAACCAGTTAGGGCATGACTGTGATTTTTATCTCTCAGTTTGTTTATGTGATGTATCACGTTTATTGATTTGCAGTATTGTACCATCCTTCCATCCCTGGAATAAATTCTCTACTTGGTTATGTTGTATTATCTTTCTGATGTACTGTTGGATCTGATTTGCTAGAATTTTCTTTGAGGACTTTGGCATGTATGTTCATGAGTGATATTGGCCTATAGTTCTCTTTCATTTTGTTCTCTTTATATGGTTTTGGAATTACAGTGATGCTGACTTCATAGAATGAGCTTGGAAGTGTCTCTTTCTCTTGAATTTTTTGGAATAATCCGTGGAAGATAGGTTTTAGTTGTTCTTTGAATGTTTGGTAAAATTCCCCTGTGAAGTTGTCTGGCCCTGAGCTTTTGTTTGCTGGAAATTTTTTAATGATTGCTTCAATTTCTTTCATAGTTATCAGCCTATTGAGATTTTTTAGATTTTTCTTTTTTTCTTCTGTCAATTTTTTTTTGTTTTAGTAAATCTTTATTGTTCAGATTATTACAATTGTTTCTCTTTTTCCCCCCTATAGCTCCACTCCACCCAGTTCCTACCCTACCCACAATGTCCTCATCCACATATGTATTATTTTTGTTCCGTCTCTTTCCATACACCCCCATCCATTACCCACTGAGAATTATCAATGCCCTCCCATTCTATGCCCCTGATTCTATTATATTTACCAGGTTATTCTATTCCTCATATTTTAAGTCACTTGACTTTTAGATTCACTTGTTGATAGATATGTGTTTGTTGTTCATAATTTTTTTTAAATATATTTTTATTGATTTTGTACAGAGAGGAAGGGAGAGAGATAGAGAGCTAGAAACATCGATGAGAAGAGTCATCGATCAGCTGCCTCTTGCACACCCCCTACCGGTGATATGCCCGCAACCAAGGTACATGCCCTTAACCGGAATCGAACCCGGGACCTCTCAGTCCCCAAGCCGACGCTCTATCCATTGAGCCAAACAGGTTTCGGCTGTTGTTCATAATTTTTATCTTTACTTTTCTCTTCTTCTTCCTCTTCTTAAAGAATACCTTTCAGCATTTCATATAATACCAGTTTGGTGGTGATGAACTCCTTTAACTTTTTCTTATCTGTCAAGCTCTTTATCTGATCTTCAATTCTGAATGACATCTTTGCTTGGTAATCTTGGTTGTAAGTTCTTGCTATTCATCACTTTGAATATTTCTTGCCACTCCTGTCTGGCCTGCATAGTTTCTGTTGAGAAATCAGCTGACAATCATATGGGTGTTCCCTTGTAGGTAATTAACTGTTTTTTTGTTGTTGTTGTTGCTGTTTGTTTGTTTGTTTGTTTGTTTTGCTGCTTTTAATATTCTCTTTGTTTTTTGTCCTTGGCATTTTAATTATGATGTGTCTTGGTTTGGCCCTCATTGGATTCCTTTTTTTTGAGGTTCTGTGTGCTTCCTGGACTTGTAAGTCTATTTCTTTCACATATATAATGTACTTCTCCACATATATAATGTGGAAGAAGTGGGGGAAATTTTCAGTAATTATTTATTCAAATAGTTTTTCAGTATCTTGCTCTCTCTCTCTTCTTCTGGCACCACCATAATTCTGATTTGGTATGCTTGAAGTTGTCTCAGGGCGTTCTTACGCTATCTTCAAATTTTTGGATTCTTTTTGCTTTCTTGGTTTAGTGTTATTTGCTTCTTTGTATTTCAAATCTTTGACTTGATTCTTGAGTTCCTCTAATCTGCTGTTGGGTCTCTGTATAATATATATATATATATATATATATATATATATATATATATATATATATATAATATATATATATATTTTTTTAATTTCAGTAGGCGTATGTTTAATTTCTAGTTGGTCCTTTTTCATATCCTTGAGAGTGTCGATAAATTTATCAGCCTTTTCTAGGAAATTCTTGAAAAACCTTAGAACTATGATTTTGAACTCTATATACAGTTGTTTGTTTTCTCCAATTTCTTTCATTTGTGATCTGTTTCTTTGTCTCCACATTTTCGCTGCTTCCCTGAGTTGGTAGGATGGCTTTGTGTGCTAGGTGTCCTATATGGCCCATTGGGTCGGCCTCCCAGTTACCTGACGTGGACACTCTTGGTGAACCCCTTTGTGGACTGTTTGTACAGCCTTGTTGTAGTTAAATCTTGATTGTTGTTGGGATCACTGGGAGGAATTGACCTCCAGGCCAATTGGCTGGGAGGACCCATTGTGTCTATAATGGAAGAATTGCTGTGTGGAGACATGCTTATGGGGCAGGACTGGTTTCAGTGGCGTTTTGGTGCTCACTAAGTCTGCCTCTTGAATGTGTCACTTATGGGTGTGAGTAATTGAAATCTGGTGTCATTTCACATTCACTAGATACACTAGCTTTTGGATCTCCAATGGGGTGCAGTTTAGCTACTGTCTAGGCCACCCAGTAGGAGCTACAGTGAGAACACAGTTTTCTCCTCTTTTCTTGTGGTTTGGAGGTTTTGTAACTGTCTGTCCAGAGCTGTAGCTTGTTAGGTAAAGCTGTGATAGGGCAGGCCATTTATATGCAAAACCACTGTGTGGAACTTTGGCTGGTTTGTAGATTGTGCGGTCTCAGGGAGTCACTAGGCTAGGGCATAGCAAGCAGTAATGGCTGCCAGTCAGCCATCTCTGTGTTTCTGCATTTCCAAGTCCCCATGTCCCGTGCCCGAGAGCCATAAACAAGGATTGCTGGGCACACCTCTGCAAGAAAGTCACCTTTACTTCCTGTCCTGATGGTAAACAGTCCAGCTTCTCTCAGTAGGAGTATGGGTCCCCAGTGTCTCTCCAGAAACTAGAGTTCAACTTAATCAGGAGCTTGTCTCCCTTCGGGTTGAAAAGAGCAGTGTACCCAGTTGCCCACCGCCAACTAGGTTTGCGCACCTGCATACCTCAGCTTTTCAGCACTTGATCATATTTCGATGTTCTTTTCTCTTTCCTTCTAGTTGTAGAACTTCCACTCAGCCAGCTTTCCCGTGGTTCTGGGTGATAGACGTTTTGTCTTTTAGTTATAGTTTTGAAATTGTTGTGCAATGCAGCAGTTTAGGTATTTATGCCATCATCTTGGTTTCTTCCTAAATTCTTCTTGATTGAGTTTTAGAAGGTTTTATTTTTCTAGGAATATGGCCACTTCCTCCAGGTTGTCCAGTTTGTTGGTATACAGTTGTTCATAATATTTTTTATAATACTTTGTATTTCTGTTGGGTCTGTTGTTATTTCACCTCTTTCATTTCTGATTTTTATTTTATTTTATTTGGGTCCTCTCTCTTTGCTTCTTGGTGAGCATGGCTGGTAATTCATCAATCTTGTTTATTCTTTCAAAAAACCAGTTCTTGGTTTCATTGATCTTTTGTATTGTTGTTTTTTGTTTGTTTGTTTGTTTTTTGGCCTCTATGTCATTTATTTCTGCTCTGATCTTTATTATATCCTCCTTTCTGCTCACTCTGGGCTTTTCTTATTGTTCTCTTTCTAAATCTTTAAGTTGTAGAGTTAGATGATTTACTACCATTTTTTTTTTTTCTTCTTTTTTTAAAGATAAACCTGTAGAGCTATAAACTTCCCTCTCAGGACTGCTTTCATTGTGTCCCATAGATTTTGGATTTTTTTTGTGTTTTCATTGTTATTCATTTCCAGGATGTTTTTAATTACTTCTTTGATCTCTTTGATAACCTAATCATTATATAACAGCATGCTATTCAGGTTCTAAATTTTTGAATTTTTTCATTGTTTTTATGGTAGTTTATTTCTAATATTATGCCATTGTGGTATGAGAAGGTGCTTGATGTAATGGCAGTCTTCTTGAATTTCGAGAGACTTTGCCTGTGACCCAATATATATTCTCTTTGAAAACGTCCTGTGTGCACTTGAGAAGAATATATATTTCGTGGCTGTAGGATGAAATGTTCTGAAGATGTCAATTAAGTCCATCTGATCTAGTGAGTCATTTAGGATTGCTGTTTCTTTGCTCATTTTTTTGTATAGGGGATTTATCCAGTGATGTCAGTGGTGTATTACAGTCCCCTACTATGATTGTATTGTTGTTAATCTCTCCCTTAATATCTTCCAGAAGTTTGTTTTATATATTTGGGTGCTCCTACATTAGTTGCATATATGTTTGTGAGGATTATATCTTCTTATTATATCAATTCCTTTAGTATTATGAAGTAGCCTTCCTTATCTCTTGTTATGGCCTTCTCTTTGAGGTCTGTTTTGTCAGATATAAGTATTGCTACCCCATTTTTTTTTTTCCATTTGCCTGAAAGATATTTTTCCATCCCTTCACATTCAGTCTGTATGAGTCCCTTTTTCTGAATTGGGTCTCTTGTAGACAAATATGTAGGGGTCATTTTTTTTATCCATTCAGCTACTTGATGTCTTTTCACTAGAGTATTTAGTCCTTTTACATTTAAAGTTATTATTATTAGGTCATCCTTCTTGCTTTTAAAATGCAGGATTCATTTTAAAATTCATAGCATTATTACTAGACCCCACTGGCACCTACCCCAAACTTATTTTTTAATTAGTTAGGATGAATTGAGTTTATTTATTCTACTTATTTAAGAAAAAAATTGTATTTGTTACTAAAAAATACTAATATTTTTGTTTTATTCATTCCAGATCAGAGATACTAAATCATCAGATCAAAAAACAACCCTCTTACATTTTATTGCGGAAATTTGTGAAGAAAAATACCGGGATATTCTGAAATTTCCTGAAGAACTGGAACATATAGAAAGTGCAAGTAAAGGTAATGACTGCGTTGAGAATATTCCTTGTTAAGTATTAGATTTTGAATGATAGGATTAAATAATCTATAAACATTAATGTTTTTATTCTGTTTCTTTACTCATAAAAAATAACAGGATGGCAGTTTCTGTTAGCTTACATTTGACAGCATATTGTGTTTTAATGGCCTCCTTTTGATTTTATTTTGTAACTCTTCTAGATTATTGAGGTTTTCATATCTCTGATCAGATAGTATGTTCTTTCATACATTTCTTAAACAGTGGAGTATATATTGTTTGCAAAGGTGCCATACTATGGGTTTTTGGTGATAGAAAAATCATTGTGAGACATTTCTTGCTTGAGTGTGTTTAAAATCTGGAAGGTAAGAAAAGACATACATACAATACTTGATACAACAGGAATCAATATGAGAAGTGCGACATGAAAATATAACTTACTGTAGTTTAGATGAGAAAGTCGTTCTGATAAGAAACTTAGATAAGAAAAGGCTTTTATGGAAGAGGCCAAAGGGTGAAACTTGAGGATAGGACTTTTATAGATATAAAAAAAAAATGCATGCTTTCCTTAGAGCAAACAATATGAGCAAGACTCAGTGGCAGAATGTGTTAGGACAGGTGAAAGAGTGGTTGACTGTAAGGTGGGAGCATTGAGGTGGCCATCTCAGAGATTTCAGTTGTTATTCTGAGCAGTCTGGTCTCAGTGTGGTAGGCAGCGGGGACATCATAGAAGGGCTAGAATGGGCAGGGTGTGGCACCAGGGAGGAACAGGAGAGGGAGCCAAAAATGTTTCAAAGATTGTTATTTAAGTTAATTAGCTTTGATGGTTAATATTGCCTACTCCAGTAAGAAGTTGAAAAGTTAAAGAAAGGGGGGAATAAGGAAACTTTTCTTTTTAATCTTCATCCAAGGATATTTTTCCACTGATTTTTAGAGAGAGTGGAAGAGAGAGGGAAAAAACAGAGAGAAATATCAATGTGAGAGAAACATCAAATTTTTGCCTCCTACATGAGCCCTGGCCAAGGCCCAGGTTGGAGAAGAGCCTGCAACCGAGATATGTGCCCTTGACCAAAATTGAACCCAGGACCCTTTGGTCTGCAGGCCAACGTTCTGTCCTCTGAACCAAACCTGCTTGGGCAGGAAAAATTTTTGAAGTTGAGATTACACATGTGGAGAAGAAGATTGTTCCTCATAAATCTTATATTTTAAATTGCACTGTAGTAAATACATTTCTCTATAACTCTGAGAATTTTCAGTAAGGGCACAAAAACATATACATTTCCCAAGTTTATTACAATCCATATAAACCAATTAGTGTCATTTGAAGGGGGGAAAAACGTGTCTATAAAGCTCAAAAATGTTTTGTGTATTATTGTTTAATGTTCATCTCTGCTGGTCTGGTATTGTCAATCAAACCCTTGATATATTTCTTATTTTATTTTAAAAATTGTTTTAATTAATGTCTAATGTTGATTTTTGTTGTTGTTGTTCTTAATCAGCACCAGAGGATATCTTTCCATTGATTTTTAGAGAGTAGAAAGGAGGGAAGGAGGAGGGAGAGAGAGAAACATCTATGTGAGACACATAGATTTGTTGCCTCCTGCATACTTTCTGACCAGACCAGGTATCAAACCTACAACCCAGGTGTGTGCTCTTGAGAAAGAAAGAAACCCTCAACTCTTCAGTGTGTGGGCCGATACCCTAACCACTGAGATACCTGGCCAGTGCAACATATTTCTTTAATCCAGTGTGTTGCATTTTATGGTCCATTAGAATAACACTAGGAGACAAACTATGACTCGATAATAGTATATATTTGCTTTCCTTTTTTTATTATAATTTATTGAGTTTTTACAGAGAGGAAGAGAGAGATCTAGAGAGTTAGAAACATTGATAAGAAAGAAACATCAATCAGCTGTGTCCTGCATAACCTCTAATGTGGATGTGCCCACAACAAAGGTGCATGCCCTTGACCAGAATCGAACCTGCGACCCTTCAGCCCACAGGCTGCTTTATTCACTGAGCCAAACCAGTTAGGGCAGCTTTCCTTTTTATAAAAAAACTTACGATGGAAAATTTTACTCACTACAACTTGAATAGCAACTTTCTGGAAATTGCTTTTCCAAAGAATTTGTATACATTGGTCCTTGAATTTAAAAGCATACCTTTGGGCCCGACCCAAGTGTCTTAGTGGTTGGGTGTCAACCTGTGACCCAGGAGATCATGCTTTGATTCCCAGTCAGGGTACATTGCTGGATGGCAGGCTTCATCCCCAATGTTGGGTGTGCAGGAGGCAGCCAATAAATTATTCTCTCTCATCATTGATGTTTCTATCTTTCCTTCTCCCTTTCTCTCTGAAATCAATAAAAAATATTGTAAAAAAAAAAAACACCTGAAAACACACACCTTTGTAGCTATAGGCATAGTTATCATATAATTAATGTAAAACCATATCGATATTTATAAAATTTGTATCATAATTGAAACATGAGGAATGTCACAAATATGTAGATTAATTTCAGAAAGGTTTTGAGAGGAAGCCTATCAACTATATGTTTAAATAAAATGATCTGTCAGTTTTACAATGGTGATTTTGAATTCTTATATTTAAGGACAATTTTCATGAATATATTTTATAAACATATTTTTAGCCAAAATAATCTGGAAGAACTCTAATGAAATATGATAAATTTATGTCAGTTTTCATTGTTATATCTAAATACTTGTTTATCTATATCTATGTCTATGTCTATGTCATATCATGCACACTTTTAGCTACTGTTATTGATGAAGGTACCCTAGAGAGCACAGCTTTTTGAGTTAGACTTTATAAAGTTCTACTCCTTGCTCTATTTCTTATCAGTTCTGTAATGTTGAACTAGTAATTTAAACTTTCAAGTTTTTGTTTCCTCATCTATAAAATGGAAATGATAGTGACAATAAGATAACATGAATTACCTTGCTCAAAGTATGTACTAACATACTTGGCACATAGTAAATATTCAGTTGTTGTTATACCGCTTTCTTTATTATAGTAATTAGTAGTAGTGGTAGTATCATAGTAATTGATGTACTACTCTAAATATTATAGCCATTGCCCTTGCCTTTTTAGAAGGGAATAATCATAATTATAAGGCTAATTAGAGTTCCCCTAGTCCCATGGTTGGCAAACTGCAGCTCACAAGCCACCTGCAGCTCGTTGGCCCCTTGAGTGTGTCTCTTCCACAAAATACCATGGCCTGGGTGATTCTATTATGAAAAAGTGGTGTTAGAAGTTTAAGTTTAAAAAATTTGGCTCTCAAAAGAAATTTCAATCCTTGTACTGTTGATATTTGGCTCTGTTGACTAATGAGTTTGCCAACCACTGTCCTAGTGTCAGCTAAATATGTAGTTTATTCAGTTTTATTTATTTGTTTCTTATGTCTGGGCATTTGATAAATATTTTCCTATTTTTCTTTTACAAATTCTTTCTCTCAATCCATTCCAAGAGCAAAATCTTTCTGTTGTATTTTGATTATTTCTGCTTTTATGTATTCTTCCTGCCAGTTTATTCAAAAGATTATTACCAGGACTCCTCTTCCTATCTCACTGTTTGGGCTGCAGCAATCCCCATTCTGAAGTTATTTTCATTAGTTATTTTTGTTTCCCAATGAAATTCTGACTCAGAGTTCTCAACTCAAAAAGTTCTTAAGCACATTCTGCCTGCTTGCATCCCTCTTTCATTTTCTCCTAGTTTTCATTTCAGTGTGCGCAGACAAATTTTCTCTTGAGCCGTTTTATTCCCCTCTCTGTGTATGATTTCATGCTGCATCTCATGCACAGAAATCTCACCTGCCCTGTCCTCTTAAGATATCTGACTATCATTTGTCATATCACTGTTCAGAATCTATTTCCTTTTATTTTCTTCTGACTATTTTACTACTAGATCCCTAGGAGAAAATACTTTGGAATTTAGTCTTCGGGGAAAAGAAAAAAAAAAAATGTGGTAAAAGATCAAGCCAGTTCCCTTTTATTTATAGTTAAATACATTTCCTTGGTATTTGAGTCTAATTTATCTTGTTTGCTTAATGCACATTTCAGTTCTGTCTGAATCTCATTCTGTCACTTTTAGTATGGTAATTATATATATATATATATATATATATATATATATATATATATATATATATATATATATATATATATAAATTCACAGTCCACCAGCAAAAATAAAAAGATATCAGTACTATATAGTTCATTTTATTCCATGATGGAGTAATGATCACCTTCAAAGACAAAACCAAAAACAATATTTTTTTAAACTGAAGGGCTATAGATAAGATTAAATTAACTTAGTTAATAGTTGAATTATGTAACTAATATGTAAAGAAAAATTGCATGACTACTTATCCCTTATTTCTGTATTTTTACTTATTAGAATCTGAGTACTTATTTTGATAGAGTAAGGATCTTTTCTGTCTGGTATAGCAAATACTAGACATCTATTTCAGTTTAGTCCTGAAGGCATAGGCATCAAATTAACTGGCAAAGGAAAAAAAATTACATGAAAGTTAAAGGAAAACTGAAGGAAGTAAAAATATGAGATCCATGGGAAAATGTATTTTAAAATTGTCTTTATTCTTTATAAAGCTAAGCTTCTAAAGTTGTGTGGGTCTTGGGAGATGCAAAGTTGTGGTGTAAACTTAGCCTGTTTTCCTAGAGCTCTGCAATAAAAAGATATTGGAGAAAACACATAATTTTTATATTAAAACAAATTTATATTATGGAATAGAATGCAAAATCCACATGAATTTTTAAAATAAAACAGATGACTTCAAAGAAACTTCAAACTAGCAGTAGATCCCTCGGGACATGTGTTCAGTCTTCTCTTCCATTAGGAATATTTGGGTGGGGAAATTTATGAAGTGTTTCTCAAAGAATTATAGAGTGGTTTGTTTTGGTTTGATTTCACTTGTTTATTTATCTATTTAATGATTATTTCAGGAAGAGGGGAGGCAAGCATGCC